GCCAGGGGCATGACTAGACACCAGAATAGCATTAGAAATGGAGTAGGACAAGTTGTCCGACATCCCCCCCATTACAGTAAAAATGGCCTGGGTGACCGATGTGGTCATTGTAGTGTCCAGGAGTGAGTGGAACGCCTCCAAGTTCATCTGCTCAATGGAAGCTATGTCCTCCCCTGGATGGGTTGGGGGTCTAGGGACAGGGGTCATTCCTTGTCTAGTGGCACTCTCAGCAGTAGTAGGGGGCATTAATTCCCAACTCCTTAGGGGCCTGCATAGTGACCAAATATGGGGCAACACACTTGCACTGGTGAAAAAACTAAGTGACAGGTATCCTGTGTTACACAGAAAGGAGGAACTTGCTTTGTCCATAAGGGTGGACTGGCTGAAACAGGTAATAGGCACACTAGGACAAAGCACAGCAAAATCACTGGCAGGTTACCGAGTGTTCCCTCAGGAACAGCCTCAGGGAAACACTGGCAAGCTGCCCAGCAACACAGGCAGCCAATCAGCTCACGCCCTCCCCAAAGCCAGGGAAAAGCACAGCAAACTCCTTGCCACACACAAGATGGCCACTGCGATGCGCAGCCACAAACCGTGCATGCGCAAGCAGCGCCGGTCACAGTATAGGGCAATCATCGAGACGTGCCCTGAGGCCATAGGGAGACCCCGGGCGATGGGGTCGCCGAGGCCGTGAAAACCATAGGTAATAAACTACCCGAAAAATACGAAAGAAAAAAAAGGAAAAAAAGAAAAGAAAAATGAGGGCTCTGCTTCAATTACAGGAAAACCCAAAACACAAAGATATTACTGAAATACCATCAATTAAACAAACAAAAACTAACAAATACAGGAATGACAGCAAAAAAATCAGTGCTACTTAGCTGAGGCAGCAGTAAAGAAAGAGGAGTGGATTCGGGTCACTTGGGAGTATATGCAATGTGGACTGTTCTCATTGGCTAAGATTTTATGATGTGATGGTTAACCTTCTGAGGGTATTTGTTTTGTTTTTCTTTTCTATGAATGTCTTAATATCCTTTCCTCACTGATGAGGAATAAAAGAAAGAGATAAGCCTAATATGAGCCTCCGTGTCCTTTAATAAAATCTGTGAATACCCAAGTACATAACAAACAACTCTATAAAATTGATAAAACAACTTCTATTACTGTATATTAAAAAAAAAAGAATTCTTGTGAAAGGAATACAAAATAATGCAAATTGTATTACAATTGGAGCTACGGAAACAAATCAATACAAGATGTATCTATGAATGATCACTGTGTATATAGACAATGGCAAAATATATGCTCAAAACAAACCAAGGCCCAATATTTCAGTGAAAATCTGAACAGTAATCTATCAAACCCTAAAAACTCCCATTACAAACTCCCCCAATCCACTCCCAACCCTCCACTGTCAAAATGGATAACCAAACCCTGCAACTTCCCTTAGATGTAGCAAATGCCTTTAACAATTATTTTGTCAGGTGCTCCACTGCCCTGATTGCCAAGCTAATAAATGACACGCATCCTGAAACTACAAATGTGAATCAGGCCCCACTAAATTTGCAAAGACCCAATATAGACAAGTTCATTTTTAGACCTGTTCCTATTAGTGTTATTAAAAAACATCTTAATAATCTAAAAATGAAAAACCGGTCTGGACCTGATTAAATCCCAGCAATGCTGTTGAAGCTCAGTGCGCCGGCAATTGCTAAACCCATCGCAACCCTAATTAACGAATCCTTGGTGTCTGGATACATACCCAAACTTTGGAAGACTGCAAGAGTAGTGCCTATCCATAAAAGTGGTGACACTACTTTGGTTTCTTACTATCGTCCAATATCATTGCTCCCAGTATTGTCAAAAATCTTAGAAAAATGTGTCCATACACAACTATGTGAGTATTACTAACAATCTAACTATCTGACCCCTTATCAATCGGGTTTTTGCCAGAATCACTCTACTACAACTGCCCTCTTAAAAGTTTGCAATGACATCCAAACTGGCATGGAACAAGGAGACCTAACTGGAGCTATTTTCCTTGATTTTGCCAAGGCCTTTGACACAATAGACCACGACATTCTACTGCACAAACTAAAAAACTGGTGACTGTTCGCTTACCTGGTTTCGATCACATGTATCGGATCACTCGCAATATGTGTCCATTTCTGACAGTGAATCCCTCCCTCTCCCAGTCACGCGTGGTGTTCCCCAAGGTTCCATTCTAGGCCCCCTACTATTTACATTATTTATGAATTATCTGCCTAATGTCTGCAAATCCTCAAATGTACACATGTATGCAGACAACACAGTAATCCATGCGAGGAAATCCGATCTACCACAGCTTGAGACTGTGCTCCAAGATCAGTTTACAGAGGTGGAAAAGTGGATCGCAAAAAACCAACTATTCCTAAACACTGACAAAACTGTCACAATGATCTTTGGAACAGTACCTAAATTACACAAATTACACAATTCCCACCAATCCATCAAAACAAATTCAAATAGCACACTGACCGCAGTCCACTCTTTCAAATACTTGGGTATGTTGTTAGACCCCAATCTATCTTTTGGTCTCCACATGGAAAAACTTGCATCTAAACTTTATCCAAAACTAGGTGCCCTGTACAGAAACAAATCCTGCCTAAGCTCTACAGTAAAGGAAAGGATTGTACAGCAAATGCTGATGCCAATCACTGATTATGGGGATGTAGTATATGCACCTGCACGGCAATCCCACATTAACCCCTTAAGGACAGAGCTTCAAAAGCTTGTCTTTCACTTAATGACATCATTTTTTTCATTTTTTGCTGGTTGCGTTCAACTGCAATTTGCATTTTACTAATTTGTTGCACCAACACATATTATACATCATTTTTTAAAGGACAGAAAGGGCTTTAATTTGATGTAACACACATATATATAAATGCTTATTTATTATAAAAAAAACAGAAAAATGTAAAAAGAAAATGAAAATTTTGTGGTTTTTTTTTACAGTTTTTGCAATAATAATGTGCATAATTAGTGCAGGTTAAGAAAAGTAATTAAAAATAAATTTAGTTGTTCTGATTTACAGAATATATAATGTGTCTGGGATTTTAAGTTTTTTTTGGTAGTTACAGGTCACAAAGCACAAGGAGTAAAATAGACCTTTAATGTGGAGCGATTTTAGAATTTGGTATGTTTGTCTTGTAAGCTTAATAGCCATAAAAGAAAACAAAATTGCGACACAAATGTATATATTTATATAAAGTAGACATCACGGGCTATTTACCTAAGGTTGTTTTGACACTTTCTACATAGCCATTTCACCAACCTCTGCTAAATATTGGAGTAAAATTGTGTTTTTTTTGGTTTTTGGCACACAAACTTATAACAAAGAAATTCTCGTGTATATTTTGTAAAGTTGGTGTGTGCTATTCCTGTACAAAGTTTTATTTTGTGTTCAGTTACATCTGCTGAGTAAAATGACACCCCATTGTATGTCTTTGGCACTATTTTGTGAAGTTACAGTGCCATACAGGATACCTGTCCTTTTCAGTATTCACAGTAGAATTTTGAGAGATGGATTTAATGAGCCTTAGCTTCCATTTGGGGTATTATAACAGTTTGACTGTTCAAAAAACCCCCACAAAGGCCTACCATTTGTAAAAGGAGACACTCCAGGGTATCTTATAAGGTGCATATTGTGCCTTAACATACCCCCATTTTTTCACCAATATATGCCAAAGTATGTGGTAAAAAATTATTTTGTGCATTTTTTACATACGGATTGCATTTTTTGCTGGGCGTTTTGTATATTTCATATGTGCCACTAAGTTCAAACCTCCCAAATTATGCTCAGCTAAGTCTTCTGAGTAAAAAGACACCCCCAATGAATGTCTTTGGCACTATTTCGTGAAGCTACAGTGCCATATAGGAGACCAAGCCATATCCGTTTTAACCAAACTTTGAATTTTGACGCTGGGCCTATGTGCAATTTCCAAGCATCTTCGCAGGTTTTAAATTCAAACTACCCCACAAAGGCCTACCATTTCTTAAAGTAGACACCCCAGGGTGTTTCAAAAGGTATATTTTGAACCTTAGCGTGGGATCATTTTTCCACTAGCTTGTACCAGATGTA